TGGATTCCATGTAGTCCTTTCTTGGTTTACTCCCTCGTTTTATTGGATCACTATCTCCAGTAGTTCACTAAAGGTACAAGGGAAGTAAATGATTTTTGTTCTTGCGTGTCTGAAAGTATCTTATTCTATCTTCATTTGATGAACAGTTTGGCTGAATATAGAAGTGTAGGATATAAATCAGAATATTGAAGGCATTGGCCCATTGTCCACTAGATCCCAAAGTGTTGTTGAGAGGTCCATTGATTCTGATCCTCTTCTTTTTCTCTCTAGAAGTTTATAATATCTTCTCTGTATCCCTGATAGTCAAAAACTTCACCGTGGTGTACCTGACCGTGGGTCTTTTTCATTCTCCGTGCTAGGCCCATCCCTTGAGCTAGCTCTTTTGAGTTGGAAAATCATGCTTTAGTTCTGAGAAGTTTCCTTCATAATTTTGTTCCCTTGGCTCTCTATCTGGCATTTCTAGTAGTTGGCTTTTAACCTCTTAGACTTATCCTCTTGCTTCATTTATTTTTTTAGATTTTAAAATTTTTATTTATTTTTGTCTGTGTTGGGTCTGCGTTGCTGCACGCGGGCTTTCTCTAGTTGTGGCGAGCGGGGGCTACTCTTTGTTGCGGTGCATGGGCTTCTCATTGCAGTGGCTTCTCTTGTTGCGGAGCAGGGGCTCTAGGCGCGCAGGTGCTCTAGGCGCGCAGGCTTCAGTAGTTGTGGCACACAGGCTCAGTAGTTGTGGCTCACGGGCTTAGTTGCTCTGCGGCATATGGGATCTTCCTGGACCAGGGCTCAAACCCGTGTTCCCTGCATTGGCAGGCAGATTCTTAACCACTGTGCCACCAGGGAAGCCCTACTTTTTATATTGAATTTTTATTTTGAGTCGTATATGTAACTTTCCAGAGGTTTTCCTTATTTAGTGGATTTTTTTTTCCCCCCAAAGCTTTCTGGTTCTTCTTTCATAGATCATCCCTACTCTTTTCAGGGAGACTGTCAGTTTGAGGTTGTCTCTGATCCTCCCAATTCTTTTTCCCATTTTTGTTTTGTTTTGTTTTGTTTTCTGTCTTCAAGTTAGAAGATTTCCCCTGTGTCTGGAGGTACTTAGCCATCGGCTTTCACTTGGGAGCCTAGAAATCTCTTTGCACATAAGCCAGACTTGGGTCCTAGGGCTTCAGTCTAATAGGACGGAACTTCAAACCAGCTCATTGTAAAGAATCCCAAATGGTAGTCTCTGGGATTTACTCCAGAGAAGATTCTTATCTCCTGCCTTGGGTGGGGATATAAAACTTGCTACTGGCATTCTAGGAAGGGGGAGGGGCAGTATTCAGATTTTCACTCAATTCCCCCATTTCTGGTCTGTGCGTCCTCCTACCCCACATGCCCACTTTCAAATCCTCTTCAATTACCATTGCCTCTCCTCCCATTTCCTTGGTCCTTGTGGACTTAATACTTTTTAAAAAAAATTTTATTGAAATATAGTTGATTTAGTTTGATATAGTTGTGTTAGTTTCAGGTGTACAGCAAAGTGAATCAGTTATACATATACATATATCCACTCTTTTTTAGATTCTTTTCCTGTATACATCCTTACAGAGTATTGAGTAGAGTTCCTTGTGCTATACAGTAGGTCCTCGTTAGTTATCTATTTTATATATAGTAGTGTGTATATGTCAATCCCAATCTCCCAGTTTATCCTCCTCCTTTCCCCCTTGGTAACCGTAAGTTCGTTTTCTACGTCTGTAACTCTATTTCTGTTTTGTAAATAAGTTCATTTGTGCTATATTTTTAGATTCCACAAATAAGTGATATCATATGATATTTGTCTTTACTAGATGAATTTTAACACTCTTTCTAGTCTGAAATTGTGTCTTTCAAGAAACTAGAACCTGATCTCCATGGTGAGTTTATTGATTTGTCCTATTTTGGGTGCTCCCAAGATGTCCCACCAATCTCCTTTTAAGACCTTTTCTTCCCTTCTCCGGAATCAGCAGCCACAGGTAGGGCTGGCTTCGTGGGTGTGCGGCCTGTACAGTCACATGGGACCCCATACTCAGAAGGGCCCCAGCCTCGGTTTACTGCTCTGAGGCCACCGCCTTGAAGTTCTTATTAATTTTCAATCCACGGGCATAATATTTCCATTTTGTGCTGGGCCCCACGAGTTATGTCGCCAGTACTGGCCACGGGAGGGTCGTGAGCCAGGACTCATCTTTCAAGGACTTTAAGGCTCGTGGCCAGAGCTACAAACACCTGTGTTCTGTTAACTCTGCTTCCTGGAAGGGAGGGAGGAGCAAGACATGTTTGCCCCAAGATTAGAAATGGAGAAACCAGCCCCCAACAGGTTCTGCAACCTGCCTGTGATCTTATCACTCGAACTCCTGAGCTTTTCAGGCCACACTCTGAGACCTCACATGAATCTTACAAGGCGGTTTTGCTTCTGTGTAATCGGGGCTGTGCCTATGGCTGTTGATATCCTTTGACAAAAGGCAATTTTGCATCCAGAGGACTTTATTCATTCATCCACTCGCTCACTCACTACGAAAAACTTTATGAAGCACCTACTCTGTTAGCAGAACGAGTGGGCTTTGAAGCAGGGAGAAATGAGTTACCGTGTCCCCCTCTGGCTCTTGTTGGCCACGTGAGCCAGTGAGCCTCAATTTCCCTCCCAGTTTGATGGGGAGAGAACGATTACCTCCCAACTCAGTGATGAGATAACCTGAGTAATGGGCCTTTTATTGCTCCGAACACTCTGTACCCAGCCCGTATTCGTTTCTTTACCTTTCTCCCTAGCGCTACGCAAAACACAGGGGGTTTCAGCTTCAGGTGTGGATAGGCCAGGCCGCTAGCAGGTCCTGCAGCACTCGGAGGGTCCATTCTTCGGGGACACACTTGATTCTCTCTTCCTCCAGCAGAAATGTTGATGGGCGCCCAGGGAGAAAGGAGGCTCATACATGTGATAGGTGTTTGCACTCTAGACTATCCCAGTGCTTTGTTATTAGCATTTAATAGGTTCCCAGAAAGCTTTGAAGATAATAATACGTCTCCCCTCCCTCTCAGCTGGTGATCTTGACGTGATATATTTATGTCTGTAGTGAAACTTGGAGGCTCTCACAAGGAGCCAAGCACTTGCTCTTATCTTTAAAAAAGCTTAAAAGTCTAGTTATGAAAATTAAACCCACAGAGAGGAGTGCCCAGGAATGTGTCCCAAGAAATGCTTCCTCTACAAGCTGTGCCTGTTTTGAGAGATGAATGGGGGAATGATAGAGTGAATGAAGTCTCATGACAATTTATGGCATTTGCCCCTCACGTCCCAGCTTACAGAGCTCTGACGGAGCCTTGGCACACCCACTATCCCGCTTCTACCTCACAATCTCAGAAGGCGTCTTGGTAAAGTTATCATCTCCACATTGCAGATGAGAAACCTGAGACTCAGAGAAGTGATTTTTCCAGGTCACACAGCTGGCAGGGAAGTTTCAGGGCCAAGATTCAAATCCTCTCTCCTGATTGCAGAGTCTCTGCTCTGTCGCCTCCTAGAAAGAGTATTTAGCTATTTCCACACTCAGCAGAACCTCTTAACTAAAATCTAGCTGAGTTGTCCTGGGCTCCAAGCCCTGGGATGTTGGCAACACCAGGGGAGGGGGGTAGGTCCTGAGGGGGCAGTGGAACCAGCTCCGATGCTCAGATGTGGTCACACCCGGCAGACAGGGGCCCCAGCCTGGCTGAGAGGTGGCCACATTCCAGGAATTTCCATGGCCTGGTCAGGTGAGAATAATGCAGCCCCTCAGGGTGGCCTCATCTGGGGTCAGATCTGTCCCTCTCATCCACTCAAGGACTTCGATCCTGTAATTCTATCCCCCACCCCAGTCAATGTTTCATTTCCATTCACACACAAACCCGCTGTAATAGTTCACATTTTTACCCTCTCTGTACCTCCCTGCTCTTCCTTACAGGCCTTTACTGACGGTCTACCCTTTTCCTCCGGCTCTGCCTTGAGCCCATTCCAATTCAACTGTCATCCTTAACACGTTACTAAAACCGTCTTGTCAGTGCCGTGCATCTTGCTAAGTCGGGTTTTTGTCGGGTTTTTTTATGCTTAACTCTTAATAGCATTTGATGTTTCTTCTTTCTTGACACTTTCTTCACGTGGTTCTGGTCACCATACTCCGCCCGTTTTCCTCATTCCCCTTAGCCGCTCCTCCTGTACTCCCTTTACTAGATTGTTCTGCCCTTCTGACTTCTAAAGGTCACAGAGCCCGCGTCTCAGCCTGGGGCTCTCGCCTCATTCACTCGCTACTCTCGCTCCCCAGGTGTTCTCATTTAGTCCTAGGGCTTTAAATCTCATTTTGACACTAGGACACCCAAATCCACGTCTCCAGCCAGAACATCTCTGAATTCCAGATTCATTTATCTGTAATGTCTCCTCTTGTATTTCTAAGAGACATATCAAACCTGAGGTGTCCCAAATCTTGATTTTCACCCCAAACCCGCTCATAACCATCTCTGCTCCACCATTCACCTCACAACGTTATCCTAGATCCCTAGGATTTTTCTCACAACTACACCCAATCCACTGTTGGCTCCACCTCCAAAGTATATCTATATCCCATTGCCCACGACGGTGCTCTTATCCAAGTACACCCATGTCTGGGTTGGATTCCTGTAACAGCCTCCTGTGGACAGAGAATGTCGCCTGCCGCATCAGTAAACAAAGGATGTTGCGGTCATCAAGCCCTCAGCAACCACAGGCACCCCACGTCCCCATGGTGCACCCGGAGGGTGTTCAGGATGGAGCGAGCAGGATACTGGCCCCAGATGGCTAAGGTGCATATCAAAGAAATGATTTCAATGAGCATCCTGCACCCGCCCATACGTAGAAAAGTGCTAAATGCATTAACTTGAGATTCTGGTTTTTCTTTAATTAACAGTAATCTTTTGATGTTCCGACTACCTGGGGTTTTTTTGTTTTTTGTTTGTTTGTTGCAAAAAATTCCTATATATCCTGGCTCCTCCCTTACCTCTTTGGAGAAATCCCTCAGAGCTACGTGAGAGGCTGTCTCCGGGCTTAAGTCCTCAGTATGTCCGCTGAATAAAACATAATTGCCAACTTTTAGGTTGTGCATTTTTTCAGTCGACACTCCCGATTAGCCATCTTCATTCCACCCTTGTGATCTGTGGCTGTTCCCCATACAGAGACCTGAATAACAACTAAAAGAATAAAATAGAGCATGTCATTCCTCTGTTCAAAATCCTTCAATGACTTCTCAACACATTTAGAATTAAATTGAAATACCTTCTGTGGCCTCAGAAGAAATATTCAAAATACTCATATTTAACAACTGGTAGGGAAATATATATTATGTATAAGTTTCTACGTAAATCACAATTTAAAAATACATTCCCTTCTATTTTCTAAATAAACCAAACTATATCTGTTTATATAATAAAACTGCTTACAGATGATGTAAGTTGAAACACAGAGCATTCATCAAATCAGTGTAATAATTTCTAAGTCATTTCTGGTTTTTGTGTGATCTTTGGTTTGATACAGTCTCACTAATTAAATAATGTCCCTATTGGGGCTAGGATTTGACAGAGTGAAACACATCAAACTCCTCCAATAACTTCCCCATTAAATCAGTAGCCACTAGGTCACTTGTGGTCTTGAAATACAGAATTTCTCTTAATAAAACAATATTGTTTGCAGTACTGAATTGTCCCTCAGCTTCTGCTGAACTAAGAGTAATTATATTCTAACATGTTCTGAGCCTTACAATATCATCTGAGGTTCTTAACGTAGTCAGTATCTTATTACTGGCTAAGCCACAGGGACCCACTGTGGAGGACCGTATTTTGCCGTATTTCGTGAGGTTGACCTTCCAGAGAGGGCCATGTGGCCCAAACCATGTTCTCCACTAGGCTACTTGGTTTTGACTCCTGGCTCTGCCACTTACAGAAATTTAAAATCTCTTTGTTTTAGTTCTCTTGTCTGTAAAATGGGGCTGCTGCTGCTAATACTCAAAGGAGTTAACAGGTTTAGACTGGTGTTTGGCCCAGAAAACGTTACATATGCATTGGCTCTCACTCACCAAGGAAAGCAGCGCTGTTAGTGCCCTTCGCCGGAAAACTCGTGGAGGGTTTTAACAAATGCACACCCTTAGATGGAAGTGAATTTCAGTAAGAATGGTGAGAAGAAGAAGGGCTGCACCCTGGTGTCCTCAGGCCCTTCCTTCCTCCATTCCTGGGGTGGGAGTATCTGCCCTCCCAGTGAAGCCCCAACACCTGGCTTATGCCTATGTGGGGCCCCATTTTTCTGCTCCCCCAGGCTCTCCCTGCTCTCTCTGAGTCAGAATCTTGTGAAGCCTGTTATCCCCACACACAGGTCTGGGCTAAGTGGGCAGGACAAGGCAGCCGTAGCTGATCCACCAGGAGTCCCTTCCCGCCTCCCTGGTAGGAGCCAGTGATGGTGGCCAGGAGGCAGGACCCACCAGGGACGCCTGGTGTAACACGTAGAAGGGGCTGTAAGGGTGTACTGGCCTCGTATTAGCCCCGTGGGTCCAGGAGACCTTCAGCAATTGGGCCTTGCCCAGCATCTGACCCCAAGGCCAATGACTCTACTGTTCACCTGTTACCCTCCAGACACACAGGCTTCCTTTTGTTCCTCAAACACACCAAGCCCGGTTCCGTCTCCGGACTTGTCGCTCTCCCTGGGACATAGTCCCCCATAGTCCTGCACGGTTCTCACTGCATTCCCACCTTGGCTCACCTGGCCCTTCTTCAGAGAGGTTTCCCTGATGACCCCATAAAAATTCTGTGCACTTACCCCACCTAGTCATGGTATATACCTACCCAGCTGCGTTTTCTAAAGCATCTATCTACTCCCTAAAGATATATTTTATAGTTATCAGTTTTCTATTCTGTTGTAATAAATACGGCTGAAATAACAGACAACAAATAATGTTGGAAGACGTAGAAAGTGCTGAAAATTTAGAAGAAACAAGTATGAGAACAAATTACACAGGTTTGCAATTTGAAGGTTTGCTATATAGTTGGATAAAATACAGATGTTTCTAACAAGTCCCTGTTCATGGTAGTCACTAGATTGTTTCAAAAATGAAATATGGAAGGAATTACTTTCGAGGAGCTGCTAATGGGAAGATGCACCAGGGAGCATATATTCTCAACAGTAAATAATTTCTTTTATAAAAGCAATATTTCGGGTAAAATTGTGTCCATATAACCAATGAAAGAGTGGCTGCTTTGACTAGAATAATAAAAGGACTCTGAGATAAGGTTGCCTAGAATGCCGTGGGTGAAGTCCATCCATGGCCTCACGCACTAGCAGGAAGTGGCAGCAAAGGCTGAAGGCAGAAGTGTGCACATCGCTGCAGGATGCCACGGATCTGGCTAATTTTATAAACACAAGACCTTGCAGATGCCACAGGACTGTTACCCTAACCTGTAATGGGCTGAATACCCGTGAAAGTCCTTTTTCCACCTCGAAGGTTGTTGGTTGTCTCACGGCAAAATACTTAAAAGACCTGTCAGACTTGCAGGTGAGTTGTCTTTTTTTTCTTTTTACACAAACGGAAGTATCAGATTTGGACACGTGATAACAAGTGGCTGTCAGTGGCATACTGCCTGGCAGATACTTTTGGAATTGTGAATACACCTCACTTGTCCCTTTGGAGTAAATGGGATGTTTTAACCAAGCGAGCAGCTGAATGGCTGGATGTGTTGAGTGGCCTTATCTCTATATTTACGATCACAGACGCCCAGGGCACCCCTAATGCTGCCTGACAATTTATTAGATTTCTGGTTTAACTCCCCCATTTCCAAGAGCTATTACACCTCCCATCCCTCCTTAGACCTCGTACAAGCCCCCACCCCGCTCAGCTGATGACTTGCTTCCCATCTCACTGGAATACTCAGGAAAGCCTTTCCAGCCATTCCCACCGGTGCCTGAGCCTGCTCACACGCTCTCAGTTCACAGATGAATTGCCTACAAGGCCAGCCCTTCTGCTTGGGCCGCATATCCCGCGCCCCTCTCGCAGCTCAGGGAGAGCCCCCTGAAATCGTGCCCTGTCTCTTCTCATCAGCATTTTCCCTCTCTGACAGCTCGTTTCCATCGGCTTATAAACGTCTTAAGCAAGCAAAGAAACAAAAGCAGACCAAAGTCTCTCTGGACTTTACATCGCCTACCAGCTACGGCTCCCCTGCCTCTGTCTCCAACAGAATTCCTGACAGGTGAGGTCTACGCTCTTGAACACACTCTATTTGGCTTTCTTGTCAAGGTCGTTGATGGCACCATTGTCCAAATCTGCCGGTGGGCTCCCGGTCCCTGTCCTCCCGTAGTTCTCCGGAGCACTGGACACAGTTGAGGGCTTCTTCCTTTTGGCCACGCTCTCTTCACTTGGCATCCAGGACACCGCACGCTCCTGGCCACCTTCTACCCCCAGGCACTTGGCTCAGGCTCCTTTTCCGGGTCCTCCTTCTGGCCCCTCCTCGTGCACACGCTGCAGCGCCCAGTCTTAGATCTCACACCTTTTTCTCTGTCTACTCTCAGACCCTCGATGACCTTAGCCAGGCTCTGGACTCCCCACTTTATACCTCCGGTTCCTACGTTTCCCCTGAGCATCAAACATCTATGCGACAGCACGTTCAGCATCTCCACTTGGCTATCAAATAGGCATCACTAACTTAAACATCTTCTAAACTGAACTCTTGATTTTTTTCCCCAAACCCTACCATAAGCCCACACCTAAGTCTTCCCTGTCTCAGTAAAATGGCAACTGCATTCTTATGTAGGTTCAGACCCCAAACGTTGCTGTCATCCTTAACTCTTCTCTTTTCCTCACACCCCTTCCCGTAAGGAAAGACTTTTTACTTCTGCCTTCGAAATTTATGGAGAAGGTGACCACTTCTCATCAGCATCTCCACCCTCACCCTACCAGCAGCCCGCACCTGGGTCATTTCTGTAGCCTCCAAAGCGATCTCCCTGCCCCTCCACCAGCCCCTTCCAATCTACTCTCCAGACACCCAGTGCAATCCTTCTAAACTATGAGTCAGCTGCCGTCACTCTTCTGCTCTCCATCTCACTGAGAATAAACTCTAATGTCCTTACTATTATCCACAAGACCTTACTCATGACCTGGCCCGGCCACCTCTCTGACCTCCTGCCCTCTGCCACCTCCTCCTGGCTTATTAAGGACCACCTTACTGTCTCAAGGTCTTTGCACCGGGAGTGCTAACCCCCAACAAATCTAAATGGCTAGGTCCCCCAGTTCCTTTTTTTTTTTTTTTAATACTTATTTATTTGTCTGGGCCAAGTCTTAGGTGCGGCACGCGGGATCTTTGTTGCGGCATGTGGGATCTAGTTTCCTATCCAGGGATCGAACCGGGGCCCCCTGCATTGGGAGCGGAGTCTTAACTACTGGACCGCTGGGAAGTCCCAGTCCCCCAGTTCTTTTATGTCTTCTCTCAAATTTCACCTTTGAGAGGCCTTCCTAGGCCATTTTGTCTAAAATAGCAACTCCCACCCACCCCCAATCTTCACATTCTTTTTCACATTCTTTTTCCTCATGGCAGTGTTTTGCTATCTGACATATTTTATATTTATTTATTTATTTATTATGCGTCTCCCTCAGCTAGAATGTAAGCTTCATGAGGTAGAGATGTTTTTGTTTATTGCTTTATCTCCTCCTTGTATCTAAAAAGTGTCTGGTGACTTCTCTGGTGGCGCAGTGGTTAAGAATCTGCCTGCCAATGCAGAGGACACGGGTTCAATCTCTGGTCCAGGAAGATCCCACATGCCGTGGAGTAACTAAGCCTGTGCGCCGCAACTAGTGAGCTTGCACTCTAGAGCCAGCGAGCCACAACTACTGAGCCTGCAAGCCACAACTACTGAAGCCCACGCACCTAGAGCCCGTGCTCCGCACCAAAGACAAGCCACTGCAATGGGAAGCCCACGTACCGCAACGAAGAATAGTCCTGGCTCGCTACAGCTAGAGAAAGCCCGCGCACAGCAACGAAGACCCAACGCAGCCAAAAATAAAAAAAACAAAACAAAACAAAAAGTGTCTGGCACAAGCTAGGCACTCAGTTGTTTAATGCATAAAAAAGTAACTGCTTTGGGGCTTCCCTGGTGGTGCAGTGGTTGAGAGTCTGCCTGCCGATGCAGGGGACACGGGTTCGTGCCCCGATCTGGG